ATCCTCACTTGAAAAAGAAAAAAAGAAAGGATTGAAAACAATCCAAATAAAAAAAAGAGAGAAAATAAAGAAAGAAAAAAATATGGAAGTGAGGAGAAGCTTGAGGATATGCCTAATCAAAAATTGGCTTCACTCGACCTACTTAAAGGGAAAACCTAAATACATTCCTGAACTTATATTTATGGAATAGATCTTTTACTAGTAGAGTTCTCATGAAATTCCTATCATTTAAATATTCTAAGTGACTTAATATTGCAACATATAGTCATTCTTGAAATTAATAGAAAACTAGAACTCTTAAATTTGATGACTAGATAATCTTGTGGCTACAGAGTTAATTCAAGTACTTCAATTTTTTTCTGAAAATCTCACAATGATATTTATTTAAATTAAACTTATAGTATTTCTGAATTAAAATTTTACTACAGTAGATCATAACTTTTATATAGTACTAAAATTACTTGAGGACAAGTAATAGTTAAGTTTTGGGGATTTTGATCAAAGAAAAATATGTTGAGATTTTCATACATCTTTTATACTATTTTTAATGATATTGCACTTTAAAGAAATGTATTTTTAATGTTTTGTTGCAGGAATGATGAATTAGGGTCAATGGAGCAAAAAAATGCAAAAAGGAACAAATTTGGAGCGAAAAGGACCAAAATGTTGATATTTGAACGAACTAGGTCGCCGACGACGCCCTCGACCTCGACGACGACGAGTTTTTCCCGAGGCTACAAGACAAAATTCTTTAGAAGTTTTAGAGGCCCGCCGACGGCGCCCTCAAGGCCGCTGACGGCAAGCTCGGTGGTTATGCCAAATCAGGCTTTGGATAAAACCAAATTTCGAAGGGATGCTTAGGAAACTCTTGGGAAAGCTCATCCACAACTTTAAAAGACTATTTTGGCCGAAAATTGATGGAGAAAAAAAGGGGGGTTGGAAGAGAGTCTAGAGTTCCTGGAGGTTAGAAAGGTTCCATTAGTGTTTGTTAGAGTGTAAAAAAGTGTGAGGAATTCTTCGAGAGATTGTAAGAGTGGAGGGAAAGTGAGAGATTTCTTCCTCCTTGCTACTTCGAAGGGAATTTTGTGTGTTGTAAAGAAAGGAAGAGATTCAGAGGAACTTCGAGGAGTGTTCTTGGGAAAAAATTAGAGATAAGTTATTTACTTGTTGTAGTTTGCATGAATTTGACTTTATATATGAATTAAGAGTTTTGTTGTGTTTTCCCCATGAGATTTGAGTAGTTTTCTCTGTCTTTCTCCTTGTCTCGAGATTTGTGAAATGGTGATTTGAATTGGTGAAGCCATGAAAATGTTTAAGAAATTGTGATGATCTTTTCACTTCGATCTTAATTTACTTTCAATCCGGTCAA